CGATATTGTCATAACGATAATCATTGCTTGTTCACTTTTGATCTCAATGGGCATTGGATTCATCACGTACTTCTTATGCAAAAGTCAGTGCGGTTAAGAATAAAAAAATCATTAATTTTTCTTAGAAAAAATAAAAAAATGAAATGGAAAAAATTTTTTTTTCCTATTTTTTTAATTAATTACGAGCAAATGAGATTCAAAAAAATAAAATGTTCAGTCATTTAATTAAATTCAATAAAATAGATTTTATTGCATAATTTATTTAGTTTAATTAATTTGCGTTGATTATTTTAAAAACAATATTTTTATCTTTGAATAATTTTAGAGAAAAAAATGGCTTCACCAACAGGTTTTTATTGGATAGAAACATTTTTTCTTTTTTTTTAAAGCATTTATGCAGTAGCGGTCTAAGGTGGGAGATGTGGCTGGCACCCTGGCACTGTGCCATGGGAAAAATTATTGAAGATTATGTGTATAATCTAGTATAATAAAGTAAAGGTTTCATCAACTAAGAATCTTGAGAAACATCTCCCACCAAAAATGATTAAACGGGATTACGAGAATTTGCATAAAAGGGTCCTCAGTTTTTATTATTTTAATTTTTCATTATTTTCTATCATAGCACGTAGTGGGCACGAAAAATCTTTACATTTTCTGCAACTGCAGTGCTACCATTCTTAACAATTACACTAAAGCGCCGCATTAATTTACAATGTCGAATAATTTTTTTTTTAAAAGTTCAATTTCTAAATAAAATATAAACTAACGTATTTGGACAATAAAAATAGTGAAATATTCTATTTTACTCGTTTTAAAGTTATGATAACATCGTAAAAACATGCGTATGCATTTATTCTGTAACAAAAATTAAAAAAATACATAAATGTAACTGTTTCCATTCAAGAGCAAGAGTCAATTTCAGGTTAGTGGTTACAAAATGGAAATTATTTTCCTTTACAAGTTTATCAATTTTTCTCATGGCTACCAAACACATAAAGCCGAAAACAAAACAGATTTGTTTAGTTGAGACCTGGTTCAAATGCATATATATCCCCAACTGTCATATACATATTGTATGTGTGATATGTGGTTATTACGCTAGTTCAAGTATGCCGTGTTTGTGTGCGTGTGTGGTGCGTGTGTTTGTGTGCGTGTGTGGTGTGTGTGTTTGTGTGCTTGTTCAATTAATAAAGAAAGTAAAACATTTATAAAGTTAATGCGTGAATGTTGGTGTGTGTTGCTCTGAATAAAAAAAAAAGTAATTCAATTCAATGATGAGTTTATTCAACAAAAATGCAAAGTGACCCGAAGACATGACTTTATGGGACACCATAAAGTTTGCACCAAAAATTATAATTAGAAAATAAATGTTTTCATTTCACAATGAAATAATGATAGTTCTATAAATAAGAAAAAAATAGGAATAACTGAAATATTTAAATATTAAACCATCTTAAAATTGAATAAATATGAAGTATATAAAGGGAAACAATCGAATCAACAGAGGACATGGTGGAAATAATTTGACTGAAAGAGAAGTAGATAGATTTTCTAAAAAGAACAAGAGAAAAAAAATTTTTAGTAGTTATTGGTAATGAATTCCAAAGACGCATATGAGAAAGAGTTGTTCTAGGTTTCAAAAAGTAAAATTCAGAATTAAAACGTAAACAATTTTGCCTAGTATTTTTAAATAAGTTAATCTGATTTTTAAAAGATTGACAATAATTTAACTTAAATATTATAAAAAAGATAGTAATAGATAAATAATATGTAGCTGGTTTATGGTAAAAATATTTGTTGTTTGATAGTATGAACTTACATGGTTAAATCTCTTTTATTTAAACGGATTGCGAAGAAAAAATTTTGAGCTAGAGTTAAAATATGAAAGTTAGATTTAGACGTACAGCCCCAAATAAAAACACAATAAGTCAAATAAGGAAGAATAAAAGAGATATATAAAGTTGTTAAAATAAATCTAAGAACCTCAAACGATAAATAACACCCAAGTTTTTAGAAAGTTTACAAGAGATTTGTTTGATATGATTCAACCAAGATAAGTTAGAGGATAAAATAACTCCCAAAAATTAAAATGACTCAACCCTTTCAATAGAAACATTATTTAAATATATAGCTGGATAAACAATATCTTTTCTAATTTTAGAACTAAATAAGAACATGTTTTACTTGAATTAATGCGTAGATTATTTGAAACAACCCAATCGTAAATAAAATTTAATTCGTTATTAATTACAGAAACAAGTACATTAAAATCCGAATGAGAATAAAGAAGAGTAGTGTCATCGGTAAGTAAGACTTAATATTATATTAAAGGTTGTTAACAACAAAGAATCTATTTTTTTCAGTATGTATTAAATGAAAGAAATGCGTGCACTTCTAGAAAACTGCAACAAACTTAACTGAACAAATTTAAAATTTAGAAAATGTCCAATCGAATGAGTTATTTAAATTGTATTTTTCGTGAATTTGTTAAGTTTAGCTTCTGAGTTTAACGCTGTTTTCCAAATATATTTTTTAACTATTTCATTTTTTCAGTTACACTAAAACCTAATTTATTTTCTAGTTTTCAGTTGCTTTTTCATATTTTATTCTCAAATTAATGTAAACATTGAATTATCACCCATTATTTTTCTAAATTGTATACAGGCAGCAAATCAACTATCGGCTCGTGAATTTTCTAACAAGACTAGCGCCATTTCACTTTCTCCATTAACTTATCAGAAATTTTAATTTTATGTTTGGTGTTATTGAATGAATTTTCTTACATGCTCGGAAACATCACAAAACTTAACGGAATTAACTTGAAAAAAACAACGATACAGCTGCAATTTTTGATTTCTCATATTTTTGTACAAAATTATTGTTTCAATATTTATAAAAAGAGTAAAATTATATTTTTTCTTGATTGTTTTTTTTACTGAATATCATATACATATAACCTTATAGTTTTAAGTGAAACACTTAAACTTATCTACATCGAAAGAATAAATGAATAACAAATTTCAAGCCCAAGTAATTTCAAAACATTCACTGCTCTCATTTGTAATTAAACTAAATGCCCGTTTTTTCCTAATTGTTCTCTTCAATTGACAATCAATGTGTTTCTTTTTTGGTATTACGTGATATGAGCGCTGCATTTGATTGTGTCGATCATACTCGTCTCATCTATTATTTCTCCACAAATTTTTTCTCTGTGATTCAGTCTTATCATCGTTCTCTTCGTATCTTTTGGGCCGCACTTAGCAGGTTTCTTATAACATCACTCTTTCTGACGTAATCAAGAAAGTCAGTTAGTGTTTTAGTGTTCCCCAAGGATCTGTGTTGGGACCTCTGTTATTTCTTATGTACACTGCTGATGTTTTTGATATCATTCAAAAATGTGGGTTCAGCTTTCACGCCTTTGTTGATGATATTCAGTTATTGGTATCTTGTCCTGAAGATTCAATTAATGCTTTTCTGAATAAACTGATTGATTGTCTTATCGAATTTAGCTCTTGGAAGAGTATGAATCAGTTATAATCAAATCAATCTAAGACACAAATATTACCGGGTGGTTCATGACAGCAGCTGTCAAAAGTCAAAATTTGATCAATCTGTATTGGCCATACATCCTTGATTTTTCCACATCTGTCCGTAGTCTTGGAGTTGTTACTGACTCAAACCTGAAGATGGATTTACATATTAATAATAAAATGAGGGTCTGCTCCTACCAATTGCTATTTTTACGCAATGTTGAAAATCACATAACACGTCTGTTCATCAAAGTTTGGGTTTCTCTTTCGTTTTTTCCAGACTTGACTATTGCAATAGTTTTTTTATGGTGTCACCAAAAGGTCTTTTTGAATGCTTCCGTCAATACAGAATCGTGCGGCCAAGCTAGTTTTGTGTGGTTTGAGGTTCTATCATGTTAGGCCTATTTTGAATAAGTGGCACTATTCTTCAAGTTAGCAGTTTTGATGTTTGAATGTGTCAATAATGCAGCATCTCCATATCTCATTTATAGATTGGAATCATACAAATTCAATTTTTCAAAATATTCCTTCCAATAAACCGATTGCAATTTATTTTTAATCCTAACTGCAATGTAAGCGACGGGTTCCCGCAACTTTGCGGTTTTTGGCCCGGTTGTTTGGAATGGTTTGCCTCATTTCGTGACCCTAACCTACCATATTTACAATTTCGAAGTCAGCTTAAAATTTATTTATTTGCTTAATATTATGCAACCATCATGTTTTTCATTATAGAATAACACAAAAATCAAATCAATCAATTACGGTTGGTTGTTTCAAATACCTGGATCTTGAGCACAAACGTGATCAATCATTAAGTAAAGCTCT